GAAAGATCGACTGTTGTTCAACAACCTGCAAAATAAATCGTCTGTCTTGGTCTTTCTGGAGAATTATTACAACATCAAACCGACGGCTTGTAACTCAATGGAGTTGACTAGGTGTAATTTCAATACTTCGCGCGTGCGATGTAAAGAGAAATACATCGATTGTTGGGAGGACGATTTGTCTACTGATTTTCTAGGATGTATATTTAATACGGATTCATAGAGAAAAGCTCGAGGAAACGTTCTTCAGACGCGCAAAGTTTCACATTCAAGACTGGTTGGACATCACGTCGACGATACCAACTGAATTTCAGTATTTCCATCATCACTTGATATTTATGTTGAAAAAGGTCTTGCCGAAGAAAGATCGGTTGTTGTTTAACAACCTGCAAAATAAATCGTCTGCCCTGGACTTTCTGGAGAATTATTACAACATCAAACCGACGGCTTGTAACTCGATGGAATTGACTAGGTGTAATTTCAATACTTCGCGCGTGCGATGTAAAGAGAAATACATCAATTGTTGGGAGGAGGATTTGTCTACCGATTTTCTAGGATTTAATACGGAGTGAAAAGCTCGAGGAAAAACGTTCTTCAGACGCGCAAAGTTTCACATCTGTGTGTTTCACGTCTCGTCGAGTAATAAAGACTCAAAAGATCCGCTGTACGTCGCCATGTTAATATTTAGTTTCTCTTAAATTCATATAGATGGCAGTAGAGTATAATAAACTTTCGAAAAAGGACAGAAGATCCACTTTTCCTTACCTGTCACTGCTTTTTAGTTCGTTTTGTTTGGTGTATAGTTTTTGTTCTCGCAATTCTCTCGATATTCCATTGAGAGAACTTAAATTAACTGTTGTAATATCGCGCGCTAGATTACCACAAAGCGACGAACTGTGAAAAATGAGTTATAATACACGTAAGCATAAAATGTCCGTGCCGTTGGCCTGAATACTTTGCATTCCTTCATCTTGGGATTGGCCGTGTTGGATACGCAATTAAGAAATCGGATGACAGTATTAAACAGACAAAATTACATTACTTGATTAATTCAATTGTTCGAATTGTTCGTCGCAAAATTTTTAACTTTGTAATTCATGATCCTCAATTTGATCTTCTGTATGAATATATTATCTATTAATGATTTGTAGTTCTTAATTTAATCTTTCTGTTTATGTATTAAAATCATTCCACAAACATCAACAAAATAGTGCAGATATCGTTAAAAATAGATATTTAGTCGACTGTCTTAAATCCAATAATTTTGTAGAATAATATGCACATATACAGGGTGGACCATTTTAATCCATCCAGTCGAATATCTCGAAAATCAAGCCCGGGGGAGAAACATTTTTCAGACAAAAGTTGTAGGGTTTCGAGGGGGGCATAAGATGATAACATTGGTTTGACCCTGAGTGGCGTCGTCAAGGTCAGGACAAGGTCACTTTGAATTTTTTAAATGGAACCCCCAATTTTTTATTACATGTTCTTATAGCACGCCTCGAGAACTTTCCAAAACACATAAATAAAATATTTTTTCATAAAATAAATCTTGAGTTATGAAGCTTAAAAGTTGGAGTACTGTTGGCATTAGCATCATCCAAGGTGTCCAAACACTAGCTAAAACCTTTTGAATGTTGTTCAGGATCATGACATTGATAAAGGCCAACGACCTTGGCCATCTTTAGCTAGTGTTTGGACACCTTGGATGATGCTAACGTCGACAGTACTCTAACTTTCAAGCTTCATAACTCA